TAAACACGCAGAAGGCCTCTGCGTGGCTGGAATGTCCTGTTGCAGGACAGCGGTGCTCACCGTGTGGCCAACGGCGCTGGCAGGCAGCCCCTGGGGTGTTAGACCTGCAAACCCCGGGCCGCCCCGACTGCCAGGGAGCATTCGGGGGTGGGGCTCGGCACTCTGGGCTCTAGGGGTCCTCCCGGTGGTCCTGATGCGGGGTGACGTGTGAGCAGCTATGCCTTAGGGACACTCAGTGGTCATCCAATCTGATCGATTAGCGGGTGGTGTTCAGACTGCGCTGTTCATTGGAGTCATCCGAGGCAGCTTTTAAAATAATGTGTGGGTCTGAGCCCCGAGGTTCAGTGAGCTGGTCCGAGGGATGGAGAGGCAACGGGACATTAACGAGCTCCCAGCAGACTGTCATCTGCAGCAAGACTGGAGCCCCGAGCAACGGGTTCACTGGGGACTCCGCAGCTACATCTTAGCTTCTGGTACGGAGTCAGTCCACACGTCTTCTGTTGCTATAAACACCGCCAGGCTTGCAAAAAGTGTTCGCAGGTGGTCTCTTAGTCCTGAGCGTAAGGCGAGTAAGAGCACCCTCAGTTTACTGAGAGGTGAAGACCTGGGAACTCGTTAAAGACGCCAAATGGGGACGTGAGACCCTAGCGCAGAGCCCACAGCCCGGACGGCGGCGTCGGGGTAAGAAAGGCCGGGTCCCCTCTCGGGGTGCTGAGCACACTGAGCAGTTGATCATTCTGGAATCTGGCTCAGCGAGGCTGCTGAGACATCAACTTAGATGCAGATGAGCCCTTGAGAAAGTCCCTGTGAAAAACTCAGTTTAGCCTTAATGTTTTCCTAATTGGCAAGCCAATCATCTGTATAAAAGCCAAATTAACCAGATAATTGTTCAAGCCCGCACCTCCCTTTCCTTGGCTCTTGATGGCACTTGAGTGCCCCATGGGGGTAAGATTCCTCCACCCCACAGGAGTCCCCAGGACACTGAGCCATTCGACAGAAATCCCTCGGGGCAGAGCTGCTTGGTTCCTTCCCACAGTCCTGGCAAAGTCAGGTCACGTCCAAAAGACCCCTGGGAAGACACCCCCTTGCTCTGAGGGGTGGTTCATCCCTTGTCAACACCAGATACTGGGTACGACCCCGGTGAGCTGGACAACGCCCTGAGCATCTCTGTCCAGCGCAGCTGCCTGTCCCCTGGACAGAAGGCTGTTCCCGCATGTTCTCTTCTGGCCCCGGCTGCTGGGGACTTGACTGGGCGGGGTCCTCCATGCCACTCACCATCACCCCACCCCTAGGGGCTCAGCCACCTCCACCTCCGCCCTGTCCAGGGCCACAAGGCTGACTTCACTGGAGCCCCACCCTGGCTCAGCTCCCGCCCTCCTGCCTTGACTGGCAGGCGTCTCTTTGGGAACACCTGCACTGACTCACAGGCGCCCGAGTCCCTGCGTCTGCTTAGGGACCTCCGGGCTCCTCGGTCCACGCCCCCGATCATACACGCGGCAGGAGTGTTCTGTGGGGAGGACCTCAGAAAACCTCAACGTTGGCCACTCGGTCAGCGGCCCCATCACCGCTACGATCCCCTGGACACAAATACGGAACATGAATAGAAACAGAGCTTCGGAAAGTTACTTTTAGCCAATAAAATGCCTAACTTACATTTTATTACATTTTTATAGAAGATCACATTTCCCCCGGATCCTAGGGCCTCACGCGCTGTAATTCTAACACACCTGTGTGTGAGGGGGGGGCGAGGGGTCACCGGGAAACTGGGCAGTGCTCTGGGATGCTTAGGCGTGCGGCACACAAAGAACCCCACGCACGACACAGCTGACGTCAGAAGTCTGAGCCCAGCTGCCTTGGGGAACACGCCATCGATGTGACAGGTCAGCCACAGGCCAGGCCCCCCGATGCCTCTGAACCAGGGGCTTCTCACCCTCTGACACCCTGAGCCCGCCGTAAGTCTCCCTGGGACGCGGTCCCAGCCAGGGAGTGAATCGCCGGGCACCTGGGTGGGTTATCGAGCGTGTCAGCCCATTAACTACAGATGTGCTACATACACATGGAAACTCAGACAGAACACACGCCCAAGACCAAGGGAAAAGCCTCGTTCGTACATCGATGCTTCCTGGTTATCTCTGGTTCATGACTTTGGGGCTATTACCCACCATGGAAGGGATCTCTCTACCCTTCAAGCAGCGGTTCTCAACCTGTGGGCCGTGACCCCTTTGGGGGTCGCATGACCCTTTCACGGGGGTCACCTAAGACATCACAGTAGTAAAGTTACAGTTATGAAGGAGCAATGAAAGCAATTTCATGGCTGGGGGCCGCCACAACATGAGGACCTGTCCTGAAGGGTTGGGCATGAGGAGGGTTGAGAACCACCACCTTAAAGGCTCCCCTAAGTGATCAACAGCAGGGGCCAACACAATCTTTTTTTCTTCCTTATACCGAAGTATCTTGTTTTCATTTTGTGTCTTTGTTCAATTCAACTTCACCGTGACTCACAGGAAATACCAACTCTGTTATTTAACCCCAAAGAGTCCAACGATCACTATTCGACAAGAAACACAGTCAGTGTGAAATCCAACCGTATTATAGCTTCCCTACGATCGCCAACATTAATTTACGTGTCTTTTTCAACAGGCCAATGTCTTGTCCCTCATTCTCATGATGGACCCTGGGGATTCATGCATTTAACACCCGCCGCCCTTCAGTTCACTTGGAGGTATTCATACGGGCTTTTTGGACGGGAAAATGGGATCTTAAACAGGGAACGTCTAAGCTTGTTAGTCAAGATTCTCTAAAACTGGTCCTTAATTAAGTCTGCCACCTTCCCCTCTCAGCTGAAGCTTTGCCCACGTACTCCGTGTGTCTGAATTAGACGTTTGGAGAACACTGCGATTCCCCGTGTGCGGCTGTTTCATGACTGAGCCTGTGCCAGGCCACGTCACTGTCACCTGGAATATTCCCGGTGCTCTTTCCTGTCTTCCCAAATACAAGTAGCTGACCAGCCCGGCCACTGGCCAACCTCCCTCCCCCTGGAAGCCTTCCTGGGCTGCCTGTTCGGCCTGAATCTCTTCTCGACTCGCCTTACGTTCTCAGATTCGACGTGGCTGGCGCCAGGCTGGTTAAATCACTTCCCAGGCATTTTATTTTCTTTTTTGAAATATTTTTGTTAATTTTTTGAGAGAGAGAGGAGCACCTGTGAGAGTGAGGGGGAAACGTCGATCGGCCGCCTCCTGCACGCCCCGCACTGGGGATGGAGCCCACAACCCGGGCCTGTGCCCCGACCAAGCGGGAATCCAACGGCGACCTTTTGGTTTACGGGACAAGGTCAACCAACGGCACCACCCCGGCCAGGGCGCTTCCTGGGCATTTCCTCTTACCCTCCCCGCTCTGGCTTGCTGACCTGGGGTTACGGAAACACTCAGATCAGGAATTCACTCGCAATTGTCTCCCGCTGGAAGAGACTTGACGTCACCTCTGAATGTGAGAGTTGGAGCAGCGATTCCCAACGCACGGGCCCTGAACCCGGGTGGTGCGGGGGTACTTGGAACATCTACGTCTACATTAAGGTCCTCAACGTGGGCACCGAAAGCACCAGCGAGTGCCCGGCAGAGGGACCGAGCAGGGCGGCGGAGCGGCAGGACTTCCGGACCCCGACCCTCGCGGGCTCCTTCTCCCTGGTCCGTGCGCTGCGGCCCAAGGACCCGCAGGATTCTGCAGGAGCCCTCCCAAGGCCGAGCGGCCTTCGCCACGGGACCGGCCGGCCGGTGGCCTGGACTTCGCTCCTCGGTCTGACAATTCCCTCGACTTATGCTTTCGTGATGTATTTGCTCAGCTCCTGAGCTCATTTTTGAGGAAAGTCTCTCAACTCCCTCTCCGCTCAGCACATTCATTCACTCCCTCTCTGGCACGCCTCGAGGGGGCGCTAGCGGGCTTCACTGTGCATTACAGCCTCAGGACAGAACGGGGGTTAACCAAACATGTCCTTGACGTCACGGGGAAGTTCCTAAACAGCGGGCGAGGAAGACGGCGGAACCACAAGTAAAATGCAATTGTGGCACCTGCTACAGGGAGAGGGAGAGGCTGGGCCACCAACCCGCAGGAGGAGGCTGGACCCTGACCTGGACATTGGCCCAGGGTGATTGTTGGAGGGAGCATCAGAGTCAACAGAGTAGGGAGATGGAGAACGGGACAGAGCTAATGAAATGAGGGGGGAGGGGAAAGCATTACAGCCCGGCCGCTGTGGCTCAGTGGCTGAGCATCCACCCTGCACCAAGAGGTCACTGGTTTGGTTCCCGGTCAGGGCACATGCCCAGGTTGTGAGCCCGATCCCCAGTGGGGGGCATGCAGGAGGCGGCCAATCAATGTTCTTTCTCATCGATGTTTCTGTCTCTCTCTCCCTCTCCCTTCCTCTCTCTCTAAAAGTCAATAAAAGAAAAAATATAAGGCATTACAGGCAGAAGGAACAGTATGTGCGAAGGGCCCATAGAGAAGGGAGAAGGGAGGGGGGAGAGGGGGGAGGGGGAGGGAGAAGCCCAGACCCAGAGCTCAGGCTGCCAAGGAGCAGGACAGCGCCCGGAACATTCAGATGAGGGGGAACAAGATCCACTGGCCAGTTCTCCAAATACACCTGTCCAATCCGCATCAGCTCTTCCTCCTTCCAGGCTGAAGTTTACTCCGAATCAGAACCCAAGCAACAGACCCTAAGGCAGCTCAGAAACTTCGCTCAGCGTAAGACGCGCGGTCGGTAGAGGAAGAGAAACGAGAGCCCCCCGGGAACCTGTCACCGCCGTGGCGTCAGGAGAGGCTCATCCCAGGGGTGCTTTGTGCTGAGCGTCTGCGGAACGTGTCCTGGTTTCTCCAGCGACATCTTCCAGCTGAAGATTTCTTTACCCTTTCCTTGCATGGAGCATTTGAGCCTGGCGAAGCCCAGGTTCATTTAGTGACTTAAAGATCGTTGTTTTCTTTCTTTCTTTCTTTCCAGTATAGAGACTCACCTATCACGCTCAGCCCCGCGCTGGAGAAGACGACCCCGTGTCTGTTCTCGGCCACGCACTGGTACATGCCGGCGTCCGAGAGGCTCACCGCCGTTATGTTGAGCGTTCCCTGCTCGATTTGAATTCTATCCTGTACAAGAAAGAGGAAGGTGAAGCCATGACCTTCTGCAGCGGAGAGCTTGAGGCTGTTTTGCTACACGTTATATCGAAGGGCCTTAATGGGAAGAAAACAGCCATCATACAGGCAATTTTCATAATGTGATCTATTTATCTGTCAACTAAATCTGCGGCGGGTCAGAGGCTGAATGGGAGACCCATACATCAGCCGGAAATGGAATCGAAAGTGGGGGACTCTTGAGTTCTCATTGATTTAATGGTGAAAGCATTCAGATTAATCTCTCTGCTGGACAGGGAGGGATAAACTTAACATTTAAAATGCCTTTTCACTCTGAGGCTTGGTGCTGCCTGGGGGGTGGGGGGTGGGGGGGAGCCAAACGTACTGTTTCTAGTATTTAATTATTTTTTTAAATCCTCACCTGAGGACATTTTCCCATTTTTTGTTCAGATAGAGTGGAAGGGGGGGAGAGAGAGAGAGAGAGAGAGAAACATCGATGTGAAAGGGACACATCGAGTGGCTGCCACCCGCACGACCGACCAGGGCCGGGGACAAACTGCAACCGAGGTACGTGCCCTTAGTGGAAACCGAACCCGGGTCTCTCCGGACCGCAGGCCGATGCTCTAACCGCTGAGCCAAACCGGCCAGGGCCTGTTTCTAGTATTTAAAACACCCCAGTGAGGAGCAGGCGGCTGCGGAGGTGAGACACACTGCGATCTTCAAAGGAAGCAGAGAAGTATTTGCTGTGGGCCAAGTTTATACACAACAAACAATTCACTGTGCCGTCCTCTGCTGGTCCATGTGCAAACCGCCCACCCAGACACTCACTTTCTTCCTTTGGGTGGGCTTATTCGTAAAAGGAGGCATCTTTGTTTGTCCCCCGCCCCAGTCAGCAGTTCGGTGGTTGTCATGGCTTCTCTGAGCCCTGACCTGTAGGGGGGGCTATTGTAGCTCCTGTCCCAGGGCCGGGGGGGGGGGGGGGCATGGGACAGTGCTGTCCACCCCTCTTCCTGGCTACAGACTACATTTCCAGATTCCTTTGCAGCTAGAGGTAGCCATGTATGTAAGAGTCCTGCTAAGCCAGGCAGCAGATTGGCTTCCCTTCACTGCGTGGGCCTATCTACACCCCAAGCCTTAGCTCTGAAATGACTGTAAATGTCTCTAGAGAGGACTTTTTATACCTGAGCTCCCAATTACGCTGCCTGCTGAATGCCCTGCACCATGGCGTCCCGGAGTCTCCCAGGAGAGGGGTAACAACCACACTGACTGGGAGGCAGGGCGCCTGGAGGTCTCATCCCTCGTGTCCCTGCACACACAGCCTCTGTCCTGGCGCAGGTGCATGCCCAGGCCCTCTGCCCAGCACTGCAGCCACAAAGCCAGAGCAGTCCATCTGGAGACCAAGCGCGGGAGTCACGGGACCCGTTCGTTGGTCAAGCCCGTCCACGTCCACATTTTTCACTAGGAATGGCATGTTATTGCACGTTATTTTGGAAACAACTCCTCATTTCCCTGTTTCCACAGCAACCGGCCACATTAGACATGGCCGTTAATACGAAGACGCAGCGTCACCTGTGTGCTTACCTGAGTGAACAGGGGCTCGCCGTTCTTCAGCCACCTGTACGTAGGTCTGGGCCTCCCATTGGCTTTACACTCCCAGAAGACATTCTCTTCAATGGCCACGTGGATATCATTTATTTTTTGAATCCAATTTGGTTGCGCTGTAGCAGTTTGGAAAGCAAAGAAAAGATGTACATTCAGTGTCTGTGCAATCTATTTAAAAAATATGTTTATATTGATTTTTTTTATAGAGAGAATGGAAGGGAGAAAGAGATAGAGCCATCCATGTGAGAGAGAAACACGGATCGGCTGCCTCGTGCACGCCCCCTACTGGGGATCGAGCCTGGAACTCGGGCACGTGTCCCAACCGGGAATGGGACTGGGACCTCTCAGTCCACGGGACGACGTTCAATCCACTGAGCCACACCAGCCGGGCTGAGCAATCTATTTTTATTGTAGGCAATCAAAGGATGAAGTAGGCTTCTAATGAAACCCCTTCTCCAGATGTTTAGCAAATTGCAAGGCTGGGTGGATGCTCAGAGAAAACTTACAGAAGACACCCCACCTCACGTCCAACTCTGAACGCAGCTTTTGTCGCCCCTGGGGCTGGTCTTTCAATCACTAAGGCAGACGGACTCAAGCTAGCGTTCGCCCTACGGCAAAAGTAACTGTCCCTCTCCCACAAGGCGCCGTCCCCTCTTTTCTCCCTGTGTGGGACCATCCCACCCTGCCCCCCATTTTCGTCTGGGCTCACCTATTCCCAGCTACACACTGCGTGTCTCAGGTTGCTTCGCAGCTGGAGGTGACCGCGTGACCAAGCTCAGGCCACTGGCTCGAGTGAACCGTCCTGAGAGCCTCCAGGTCACCCACTTCAAGGTCCACGCCCTGGGCTCTCGTGCCCTTCCCGCTGTCGGAAGGAGGAGGCGGCTGGAAGAGCCTCGGGCTCTGAGATGCAGTTAGGTTGGATGGAAATGCAGACCTGCCCTCCAGGGACCTTGAATGACCTTGAGGAGCAAACCCCCAGACTCACCTGCCTATTTTTGGAAAGATACATGAGAGAGACATTTTGGGGGGTCTCTTTGTCACAGTGGCTTAGCCTGTCTCTAACACAGTCCCCTCCCACGGGTTATATAGATCATTTCTGAGATTCCTTTCTCCTACAAGGCTATCCTCATTTTTTATCATTGGCTCATTCCGGATTGATAGGATGTCATCCACACGAGTGTGGCCCTGGAACCCTAAGTCTCTGAATGGGTCCTGATGTTTGCCAAAACCTTTTGAGCAAACCACGTCTGGCCCCCCGTCAACTCCGGAAGCGGAGCGGCCCCCGGGCCCGGCCTGCACCCCCATGACGGCTACGGTTCCCCCGCTCCAGCCGAAGGCACCCTCGCTTTCCTGTTCTTAACGGAGGCCACGCAGTGTTCCCTCCACGTGCCGTGAAATGTCTGCACAAATACCGCGCCTTTCGCCCGAAGCAGCCTTCACAGTGAACTCTTCAGGGAGAAGACCTCCAGCCCCAAGGTCATGCAGAGGGGACCCCGCCTGCCGCTCTGGACTGACACCTGCTCACTGTTCAGGTGATGCCACCAGCACCGCCGAGGTCAGCGTTGGTTCAGGACTGAATTGGAAGACGCCGCTCCACGTTCTCCACGCGCTCTCCTTCCCTGGCCTCGAGCCTGCACTCGGGAGGCTCCGACCTGACCCTAATCCGTCCAACAGGGACGGGCCGAGGCCCAGGGCCCGGCTCACGTTCCTCATCACACACCAACCCAGGATCACACGGGACAAGTCCCTCGACCAGCTGAGGTCTCCAGGTGCCCGAATAAACACCTTCTCCTTTTTCCATCTAGAAGCAATTTCATGTTTTTCAAAGAGCAAAACACAGGTTCACAAATCCTCATGACGGGAGCTCCGTGGCCTATGAGGGGAGGCCGGATGGGTCACCCTCCAGGAAAGTTGTAACAGCAGCGAGCGCTGACTTGCGCGCGGGCGTCACCTCCATCCCCGAAGGAGCGGCCGCTGTGCTGCCCGGTTGGGCTGCTGGCAGCGGGGACGAGTCCACACAGCAGCTGCCTGCTCAGCGTCCACCTGGAGAACCAGATGTGTCCCCCTGCAGGGGCTGATGTGGCCGATTTCACAGGCCACCTGCTGCAACGCGACGCCCCGGAAGCCCAGGAAAACAAAGCAGACGGGAAAAGCTCCGGAGAGCAGCGGGACTATTAACAACCAAACCAAACTTTTCAGAGAGCGTGAGGGCAACGACAGGTGGAAGGCAAGTGTGACTCAGGGAGCAAGGTCAAGTTGACGTTCAAAGGCGAACATCGAAAGCACGTGCGGAGACAGCGTTGCCAGCGGCAGATTCCCAGTAGCACTCGGCCGGTCCACTGCTCTTTCAGACACAGAGTGCTGGACGCAAACCTTGCAACCTGAGGATGGGGTGGGCGGGGAGGGGGCCTCCAGAGGGTATTGAAGAGACCTCAGAAAGTTCCCGCTGATGGAGCCCTTCTGAGGGCTGGCTCCGTCTTTTCAACAGGGTCGGAGAGGCCTTGGTGCTGGAAGCGGTCAGCGGTCCGCACCCCTGCAGGCCGAGGGGAAGCCAAGCACTAATTCAGCTGATGAGAGGCATCAGCAGGTACTTCCTTTGTTTTCAAAGCAAAATGAATTCTCAGAAGCCCAATTTGAAATGATAAATACATACTCCTTTTGAAGTGACTGTCTGGGCATGGGCCCAGGGAGATCAGGAGTGAAATATATTCCACAAATGGCAGAGAATGAGATAATCTTTCTTTTAACACACTGAGTGCTGATGGACAGGCACAGGCCCCACCCACGGGGTTCTGCCTCTCACTGAGACCCACAGGCCCCACCCACAGTGCTCTGCTGCTCACTGAGACCCACAGGCCCCGCCCACGGGACTCTGCTCACTGAGACCCACAGGCCCCACCCACAGTGCTCTGCTGCTCACTGAGACCCACAGGCCCCACCCACAGTGCTCTGCTGCTCACTGAGACCCACAGGCCCCGCCCACAGGGCTCTGCTGCTCACTGAGACCCACAGGCCCCGCCCACGGGGCTCTGCTGCTCACTGAGACCCACAGGCCCCGCCCACGGGACTCTGCTCACTGAGACCCACAGGCCCCGCCCACAGTGCTCTGCTGCTCACTGAGACCCACAGGCCACGCCCACGGGGCTCTGCTCACTGAGACCCACAGGCCCCACCCACAGTGCTCTGCTGCTCACTGAGACCCACAGGCCCCGCCCACAGTGCTCTGCTCACTGAGACCCACAGGCCACGCCCACGGGGCTCTGCAGCTCACTGAGACCCACAGGCCCTGCCCACAGTGCTCTGCTCACTGAGACCCACAGGCCCTGCCCACAGTGCTCTGCTCACTGAGACCCACAGGCCCCGCCCACAGTGCTCTGCTCACTGAGACCCACAGGCCCCGCCCACAGTGCTCTGCTCACTGAGACCCACAGGCCACGCCCACGGGGCTCTGCAGCTCACTGAGACCCACAGGCCCTGCCCACAGTGCTCTGCTCACTGAGACCCACAGGCCCCGCCCACAGTGCTCTGCTGCTCACTGAGACCCACAGGCCCCGCCCACAGTGCTCTGCTCACTGAGACCCACAGGCCCTGCCCACAGTGCTCTGCTCACTGAGACCCACAGGCCCCGCCCATGGGGCTCTGCTGCTTACTGAGACCCACAGGCCCCGCCCACGGGGCTCTGCAGCTTACTGAGGGGGGGGGAGGGTGAGTGGTGCTGGAATCCAGTTCTGAACCTGATTGCAACTGCTTCCACATCTCCATGTCTCTCAGAGCCCCGTGGGCGGGGCCTGTGGGTCTCAGCAGAGCCCCGTGGGCGGGGCCTATGTCTCTCAGGGTCACCCAGGTCAGAGTCCTTGGGTAACAGCTGGTCCGTTTCAGTGCCTGGTGGAAACATTGTTTCTCTTCATTATAATGCATGTGGGTCTGTGGTGTTTCCCACCGAGCGTCTAGACCACGTTTATAACTCCACGCCCGGACACATCTCCAAGGAGGGCCTAAACTGGATGGTCGGCAGCATTATTTCAGAAGGAAGGGCATGTCTTAGTGCCTTTTGGGGTGATACATGTAGATCCCACACACTGCACAGAATTCACCGCACCCACACATTAAAACCGAGCCATCCGCTTCGGCGATTCGTGCCCTTCCGAGGTTTGAAACAGAAGAACGGCTCCTCCTAAGTCTTATTCCCAAGATGCACCTTCAAAAATAAGGTTAACGGGGGTGTCGGGTTGGACCCCGTGACACTACTTGTCTCCTGGACAGGCGCACGACCCTTCACTTGCACCTTTTGCTCACTGTCTGCCGGAAGGACCCGCGTCAATGCCCAGGTGTGTCGTCCAGCCGCTGGAATGGGGCAGCATCTCACGTAGTAACCACTTCTGTTGACGAGGGGCATGAACTCAGAGCTACCAGTCCCAGACGCTCCCAACACAGACATTTCTAACAGAAACAAATGCCATCAAACACCTTAGGTCTTAGAAATGAAAAGCCGAGAAGGGAGAGCGTGATGAGAGAGCACCCTGAGCAGGACGAGGTGCTCCGAAGCCGTGGGGAACTGCATGGGGCTGCCACCCCCTGGGGACAGTGAATCGACTCCGAGGTCTGGCTCAGGAAGTCTATCCATCGGGAGTGCTTTTATGGGCCTGACGGCGGTTTCTTGGTTTAGTTTCCCACCTATATCTCCTTGCTTCCCAAATCTGTAGCTCCAGCCTGGAATTCTTTCCCGTTGACAGAGTCATGGAGATATTCTCAATATCCTGCCCTTGAATCCACATTGACGCCCCGTGTTACAGACGAGGCCCCGAGATATAAGGTCAGATTCAGAAAGGGGTTCAGCAAGGTTCCAATCTCCACCCTCCACCGATGGGCTCTCAAATATGGCGCCCCTGCCACCAGGGTCAGTGGAACAGTCCTTTGCACCCCTGGACCTCAAAGTGCAGTCTCAGGACACCCGGGGATCCCCAAGTCTGCTGCAGGGTGTCCATGAGACCCTTCCTTTCCTGCTACGCTTCTGGGTAAGACCAGTTTCTTCATGTCTGTCCACCACCACGCACACAGGTCGTGGCAGAGGGCCTGGGGACATAGATGAGAATTCGCTTCCTTCTGTTCAGACAGA